CTCCTTTCAACTGTTCAGCCAGAACTTCTGAAACTGGTTGTAATGCATCAGGGATTTTTATTTTGGATACTGCTCTCACAAAAGTCAATCAGCTTTCAAAATAGATTGCTCTAGCCACACTGACAGCTTTGTTCTTTGAATTCCATGAGCTGAGGATAGTACCGGGCCAGGGCACTAGCCTCCCGCCATCGTGGCTTACTCCCATACAGGGGCTTCGCACTAAGGGAAGAGAGAACAATAAGAAGACTGTTGGACCCGTGGCACCAAGCCATTGCCAGGATCTCTTCTGGTTTGAAACACACCACACTGCACAAAAGTGACTTGTGTCGTTCGCTGCGGTTGAAAGGGAAATCTGTTATCCCATTGTGTATTTCCCAGGATTTGAACAGAAAAATGTAGGAATAATTTTTAATTATACATCAGATTTTAAAACTTTATTTTAAAGTCTTTATAAAATTATTTGCTTTTAAATAATCTATCACATTTCTAAAGTAAAGGAGCAGATGCTCAATCCAGTATTGTTCTAAAAGAAAAGAAAGGCAACTATAAAATTTTTAATTTTGAGAACTAGCTTTCCTTATTCATATATTAGGATTTTCTCCTCAGGAAATACAGGAAATACATATTTCAGTTTGGTGAAGGAAAGGAGATTTTCCTCATTAAATATTGATTAAATTATGCTCAGAGGCTTTGGGTATCTTATTTAACCAAGTCCATGAAAGCACCATCTCAGTAAGAGCGATATTCTGTATGACAAAAGGTTTCCAGGATTTTGTGGACTGTAATGTTTCTCTCCCTTAATTGTAGCCACCTGGAGGAGACTTAAAACTTTTCAGGCTGGCAGAGATTTACTCTCTTTACCGTTTCTTTAAAATAGCATTTCTCAGAGGGTTTTTCCCTTTCCTAACTTCAACCTTGAGAAAGGTTTCCTGAGCAAATGAATATTCTGAAAACGAGTTCCATAAATGAGTATTCTAAACTCCAAATAGGGGTGGACCACGATCCACAGTATTTTCTTCCTGGGCATTTAAAGGCTTTGAGTAGTCCCGTGGCTACGATGCTTACGTAACTTTAACTTCAGGTTTTCTAGATATCTTTGATAACAGAACCTTTGTTTTGGGGGGTGGGGCGGGGCTGTGTTTTAGAAAGTAGTTTTCTGTGAGGCATGCTTTGAGAAATAGTCTTACTTATTATAAAAAGTAGCACGTGTACAGTGCATAAAATATGGAAAACACACGAAAGAGAAGAAAACAAATATCATTCATAGAGAGCTTCCACTAAAATGTTGGTGTGTTTCCAACCACTTTTAACATGCATTGATCATGCTCTATATGCTATTTTATATTTCCCTTTTTTCACTTAATATCGTAAAGCAAGCACGTTATCATGCAATTCAGAATTCTTTCTCAAAATGATTTTTAATCATTGCATAATGTTTCGTCATTTGGTTATATTACAGTTAACCATTTCCTCATTGTATATTTAATTGGTTGTTTCCTATTTTTCACTATTATAAGTTATACTGTAGGGAGTGAGTATATTTTTACATAAAGTCTTTTTCCTCTTTTAGGTTATTTCCTTATGATAGACTCCCAGAAATTGATTTAATAAGTCAAAGGGTGTGAGCTTTCTTCAAGCCTTTTATAAATAAATGCCAAATTATTTTCCAAAAGAGCTGTAATAATATATAATCCTTCCAGCAACAGAGTATTCTCACAAACATTATGCATTAATATTTTTTAAAAATCTTGACACTTTGAAAATAAAAGGTGTTGTATCTTTTAATTTTGTTGTTTTGTGATAATTAGTAAAGTTTGATTTTTAAAAAGCTGGTGTGATTGCTGTTCATTATTCAGTTTTCAATTGTCATGTATTCTAAATTTCCCAAGCTGCAATCATTTTAGTGTTGTAAGAATATGCAATCACACTTAAATATGAGATTTATGTACCCTACTGATCTTTTAAAATGTAAATAATGTATGTTATAGATTTGTATACGTATTTTGTGTGTTAAAAATGCTTTTCCAAATATTTTTAATGTGGACCAGTTGACTTCTTCTGTTTATTCCAAAAAAGCAAAATGACACATTACAACGAAGGCCATTTTAAACAGGATTCAAAAATTACATGTCTTAAACTGTGAGCTCCAATATATATTCAAACAGAGGTCCGTCATCTATCTGATTGGCATGTGATAGAGTAACTCTAAGGAACCTTCTAAGTTTTAATGATTCTAGGACTCATTTGGTAGTTATTTAAATAGTTAAACCAGAACTAATTTTTATTGCATCTAGTGTTCACTCTTTCATTTGACCTTTACTTATAAGCCAGTCTTTTTGTTCTTTTTTCCACCTACAAAATGATGCTTGTGTTTCTAACATATAGTGGATTCAATCCTGGAATTTTGAGGACAGGTTGTCCCTCTTTGACTGCTTTTCTTATTTCATGTCATTGCACTTACGGGACTTTATCAGAAGGCAAGCAGGGCAGATATTCAAGATCCAGTTTAAAATTTCTTTGTGAATTCCATATTTTAAGAAGTATTTTTGTAGAACTTTCAATCCATAAAATATATTAAGACTCATTATTCTGTGCGTTCTCAACAAGCTAAGAGGTTGGGCTCTAAAGTTAATGAAAACTAACCATTCTGGGGCCTTTGTTGTTGTTGTTGCTAACACTGTTTAAATAAGAACTAACACCTAGAAAAAACTAAGGGGTTTGTTTCATAGACATAGGATATGTGCGTTTTCTTTTGTTTGGAAATCTAGTGACTGTTAATCATCCTTCTTTTGTATAAATTGTTTTTGTGTTGCTAGAAGAGCTCCATGTACCTTTAAGTGTCCAGATGAAAAATGAAGAGCGGGGGCTACTCTTTGTTGTGGTGCGCAGGCTTCTCATTGCGGTGGCTTCTCTTGTTGTGGAGCACGGGCTCTAGGCGCACAGGCTTCAGTAGTTGTGGCATGTGGGCTCAGTAGTTGTGGCTCCCGGGCTCTAGAGCACAGGCTCAGTAGTTGTGGCACGTGGGCTCAGTAGTTGTGGCTCCCGGGCTCTAGAGCACAGGCTCAGTAGTTGTGATGCATGGGCTTAGCTGCTCTGTGGCATGTGGGATCTTCCCGGACCAGGGCTTGAACCCGTGTCCCCTGCATTGGCAGGTGGATTCTTAACTACTGTGCCACCAGGGAAGTCCCATGGCAAACTTTCAATCATGTTTTGGGTGGTTTTAATGAGTAGATCCTTTGTGATTACATCTTACTGTGAAATTTCAATGAAAGGAAGATTCCACTGTTCTCTACTTGAACTTGTTTCCTTTGCTTGTTATAATAACTCTATAAGCTAAAAGAGAAATTGTCTGATTGAGACCACACATGGAAAGTTGTACAACTGCAGAGGGTAATTCTACATGGCACTAACCAAATGTTAGCATCCATTGTGGTCTCTCATTAGGTTAGCCAATTATTCAGTCTGTGCCTGCCCTGGCTAACCAAATTAGTTGTTATTGGAAAATTCAGTTGCTGCTAAAAATGTTGATCAGAGTTCATTACTAGGTTATGCTCATGGAGACCAAATATCCTGTGTTAGCTTCTCTGTAAGTAAAATGATCTCATGGTTTGCATCTTAAAATTATCACTTATTATTTACCTACTATGGTTACATTTCTTGAATTCTGCACTTGCTGTCTTATCCTCAGGCTTATGTGTTGTAAGAGGAGTCAAACTGCTTCTGACATTATTAAACATAACATGTACCTTAATTCTGGGAAAATAGCCTTTAAATCATTAGAAGCTCTCCAATCTTTTAGTTACTGTCCTTGACTACAGCCAGGGTATTGTAATATATAAGGACCGTTGGCCTTAGCGCCATCCTAGAAGTAATTTACTTTAATTTTGGAGTTCCTCATGTGAAGAATGGGGATAATGATAGTTGCTACTTTGGTTATTTGTCATGATTATATGACATACTCACTCCAAATCAGTTATCGTTATTATTAGTCCATGATAACCAAAGGGACAGTAATAATACACAAAAAGCATAGATTAAGAATAATATATTTGGGGCTTCCCTGGTGGCGCAGTGGTTGGGAGTCCGCCTGCCGATGCAGGGGACGCGGGTTCGAGCCCCGGTCCGGGAGGATCCCACATGCCGCGGAGCGGCTGCGCCCGTGAGCCATGGCCGCTGAGCCTGCGCCACCCGGAGCCTGTGCTCCGCAACGGGAGAGGCCGCAGCAGTGAGAGGCCCGCGTACCGCAAAAAAAAAAAAAAAAAGAAAGAAAAATATATTTGGATATGAGAATAGTTCTGTGCATGGATTTTTGTCCTTCTTCCCTGTTCTCTCCTTTCGACACTCATTACTGATGACCTATTACATGCCAGGCGCAATGCTGATATAGACAAAAGTCGGGCGCGGTCATTGCATTCACTGAAATTATAGCCTAGTGGAAGAACTTAGCTTGGTTTTAGTAGAACAGATACAGTAACGTGCACTTAAGAATATAAATACAAAATTAATATGCATTCAGTGACCCAATTCAACCAGAATTTATTCAGTATCTTCACAAAAAGATCAAATGTCCTCTGGGCATATTCATGGATGCTAGGAGAAAAGGCAGATACTATTGGAGATAGAGATGCAGATTATTTGTTTCAGGAACCATGCAGGGATCAGAAAGTCATGTTTATTTTACCTTACCCTTTTTGGTAGGGAATAGCCTTAATTTAAAGGTTAAACATGGATGCATTAGCAAACAGGATTGGTGTTTGTCTTTCCTCATTTGAGTGGGTAGAGTGGGTATTCGTACACTAATGAATACCTAGTATATGAGATATTGGATCTTATAGCATTTGAGCTGCATGAACCAATTAGATTGTGAATAGTAAAACCATGAATTATGAAACTGTAAATTCTGATGATTTAATATATTGAGGTATATAATAATAAAAATTCCATTAGTAAGCAGTTTGCAAAAATTCATGTTTTTTTCCTTTTTCTTTTTTTTTCCTCAGAGCATCTGCTACACCCAAGCCTGAGCCGGTTCCTGTTCAAAAGGTGTGTTTCTAATCTAGCATCACTAGGACATTATTTGACTGTCCGTCTTGAACCACTGTAACTTGCGTTCCTGTCTCCAGTCATACTGACAATTTATAGTTTCGATGCAGTTCTCCGCACAGTTCTTCTTTAAAGATGACGAGGGAAAGTGGAAATCAACACGTACAGAATTATCAGCTGAAATTATTCCTCATCATTTAAACATTATTTCCAATGTCATATGTTATCAATAACTCATATCCAGATTTCTTACCTTCACTTTTAATTTGCCTATCTCTATTCACATAATCTAAAAAGATGAATATCACAGTAGGTCTTTAATAACATTTTATTAGTAATATTAATGAGTTTTTAAATTACATTTTCAGAGTATTCTTGGATTAGGTTATTGGCAGGTACCCTTTTTTTCTCATATATATCCTGAAATTGTCCCAAGCCATTATTCATATAATCTGGTTTTGTGCTTTTGGGGGTTTTCTCCTTAATTTTACTTGTGCCTTTCCATTGAATTTATTTATATTGATTCCCAGAGGCATGAAGCTACTTTATCCCCCCTCAGTTAGCTTTATTATTTCTGTAACATTAATTTAGATTACTTTTTTTTCCTTCAAATTAAACATAATAGAGCCACCATTGTATGCTTTTTAAGGAATTTTGATTGTTTTTCTTTGGGGATGGTAGGGACTTATTCTTGAATGTCATAGAAGGTTAAGCTGTTGTTTTTTGTTTTTTGTTTTTAACTTCATACTTACTCTGGGATAGGGGTTTGCAAACACAAATTCTGTTAATTTTAGGAGGAATTGAGCTTTCTTAGTTGTTTTTCTTCTTTGACTGATGGCAGTGAAGAAACATCTAAGATCTCTTTTTTTTCCCCTCATGTAACTACTAAATATTTATTTTAGAAAAGGGAAGAAATTTATTCCATCTTTAGTGATATCTCACAACATTCCAGAGAGAGAAACAACAGGTGGATTACAGGAAAGGGAAAGGATTGATTTTGTTTTGTTGATCTGTTTGCTTTTTTTGTTGAGTTTTTTTTTTAAGGAGCAATTTCTTGATTCAAAATAATTAGAATGTGCACATTTCTGAGTCAGATAAAAATGAACATTCCTTCGGTTGTTTTGTTTTGTTTTTAATTGAAGAGTTAGAAATGTGCTGCTGCTTCTGCATGAATCAAATAATTGTACTCTGGAGAGTAATTAAACAGGTTTGAAAGTTGGAATTATAACTGAGACTCTGGATATTTTAAAATAAATATTTTGGTTAGTGATGTTTTGTTTACTGTGGGGTATTTAGAAAATTTTCCTTTGGAATATGTCTGAATTGGTACTTATTTTGGCCTTAGGCTTTTTGATAACTTTTCTAACCTATTTCCTAAATATTTTGAACTCCTTTCATTTTTATTAAAAAAATATATCTACTCAGTATGTGCATCCGCGTTATGCATGTTGGGACCAGTTGGCATGCATACTGTGTTATATCAACTCATTGTTTTTATCTGAAAACGTGTAAAGTTTGGCCTGCTAACATGATTGTGTTTGTCTTTTTACAAACTAGCTGTGTGTTCTTTTCAGCGGATCTATTTTGCATGTCTTTGGCCTGTTTTTGTGTATGTTTATTTTTATTTTACATAGGGAGAACCTAAAGAAGTAGTTAAACCTGTGCCCATTCCATCTCCTGCTGTGTCCAAAGTCACTTCCACAACCAACACGGCCTACAATAAGGCACCACGACCCTTTGGTTCTGTGTCTTCACCAAAAGTCACATCCATCCCATCACCATCGTCCGCCTTCACCCCAGCCCATGCGACCACTTCATCACATGCTTCCCCTGCACCCGGGGCCGCTGTCACTCCTCCCCCATTCGCTGCATCTGGACCGCATGCTAATGCCAGTCTTAGTGCTGACCAGTGGTCATCTGCACTGAGCGCTGGTAAACCTGCAGTTAATGTCCCACGGCAGCCCACAGTCACCAGCATGTGTGCCGAGACTGCCCAGGAGCTAGCGGAGGGACAGAGAAGAGGATCCCAGGGTGACAGTAAACAGCAAAATGGGTAGGTGGCCAAGGGTGCTTTCTGCTCTTATCAAAACTCTTCTTTCAGGCAATTTCCAAGCAAAACTTAATTTCCATTCCCCCCCAAAATCAGCTGTTCTTTGAAGGAAGGGAGATGAAGTTTCATTTGCTTCATTAACATGTAGCGTTATGTTACATACAACACTTGCTGCAAGGATTATAGGTTAATCCAGACCTAATTATGCATTTTGACCTGTTATGAACCATGTAACAGACTCTGTAACTCTTTTTCTCCAAGTCCTGGCACAACGTGGAGCAGCTGGCCCTTATAATGCAAGGCAAACCTTGAATATTTCTTCCTCAATTTTTCCATCCTTTTATGAGCCACCAAAAGTTGAAACAGAGTGGTTGCAGTTGTGTCAGCTTATGTATCTCATGCTAAAGAGAGGAAATGAGAAGTCTGTTAGAAGCTTTTTTTCTAGGAAGTAGTTTTAAGACAGAAAACAAATTTAGTTTTGACTCATGTCTGTGTGTGATGCATTAGCTTAGGTCAGCTAGCTAAGCAACATTCTTTTCAGATAAATTTATGCTGGAATTTAGTCTTTAAAATCAAACAGTAATGAGAGGACAGTAACAATAAAGGATGCTTTAAAAATATCAGAAGCAAATTAGAGGATATTTCACTGTAAAAATATTTCTAAAATTTAAAGCAGTGGACACTAAATATATAATGTTAGCAGAATTTTTTGAAAATCCATTCCTTATAATTTTCCCCTCTTTATGTCACAGATTTTTAAAAAACTGGTTGAAGTCTATTTTCAGCAGCCTCCATTTATAGATGGTTATTTTATTCTTTTTGGAATCCAGTGACCGTACTTTAAGCCAAAGTCATTTTTGTAAAATCATTTTGATCAGATTTATTGTGACAAAAGTGTCTTTTAAAAGGAAAACAAAAGGAAATAATCTGCATGCGTGATTGTTTTTGCCAATGCCGGTTCCCAGGAAAATATAATTAAAATAATTGTGTAGATAGGTCCTTTCTGAGATAATCCCTTCTGAATGTTAATTCATGTAATGAAGGGGCTGTGCTTTCATAGCACTGCTGCCATGGCAACTTGGGGGCTTTGAAAAAGAAGGTGGCAGGGTTCCAGGCTGTTGCTGAGAGGAAGGGGCAGGTCTGGAAGGACAGCTACTGGGCCCTACGTGCGGTTTTGTGGTGGTGGATGGCTTTTGAAAGTTTCGATGTATAAATTGAGGAAAACTAGTGTCCTAAGTTGTCTCTTCTTTCATGTGAGGAAGAGAAGTAGCATGTAGTGTTGAGGTGCGTTTGGTTATATTTTTTTTGGTATGTCTTTTTTAAGACAATAGATTTTAGAGTAATCAAAGTAGTACCTTGAAAAAACAGATGCTGCCTGTCAAATGCTAGCCCCACAGAAAACTAAAAGCAGAAGTTTATTATGTTTGTTAAATTCCAGGCTCAGTAGAAAAAAGTCCTTTGAAGGAAGTATTTGAGTTAAAATCTTTTCTCCTTGCTAACATTTCTTGAAATTTTATAAGAAAGCCTTCTTAATGGAAACTTGTAGAGATAAAAGCAAATTGAGGTTACAGAAAGGTACTACATTGAAAACACCAAGCTGAAATTGTGTTTTATGAGTACAGCTTTGGTGATCAAACTTGAAATGATTTAAAGCTTATTATTTTCCAACTGAAGCCGTAGGCAGAGGTGTGCTTACAGGGTCTCTACAGTGGCTTCTTAATCAGTCGACATGTGGTTATCGAGCACATGCCTGGTGTTCAGCACTGCACAAGGTTCGGGACAGAAGGGATTATTACATAATTTGCATCATCAACAAGCAAGTTACTGCTTTGCATTTGTAAATTGATTGCATTTAAGAATAGCTTAATTTCAGATGTTGTCCAGATATGTTAGCACAATGAAAACTTGAAAACAAAGTATCTATGAAGTTCTGAGACAAATTTGCATTGCTCTTTCTCTTACTACATTTAGAGCAGAAAAATCGAAAATAAATCACACATTTTACTATTTACTAGTCGGTGATGTATCATTTTGAAGAGCAGGTGTTTTGTGATATTGACAAATTTCCTGCATCCAGTGTCAAACTGTTTTCCTGAAATCACTGTCAGCGTTTTTACTAATTATGTGATTATTGAATTTTCCACATTTTTATAGTGTGACAAAAGATCTTCAGCAAAACTCTTTCACAGTTGAGGGTTGTTCCTTTTTTTTTAAGAGAGAGTTGTTACTTTTTATGAATTACTTTTTATTTTGAAACTAATACATGCCAGTAACCAAAAATTTAGGAGTTTAGGAGGATGTGAAGTTAAATGCATGTTATCTTTTTCTTCAAAGCAGGAGGGCTATTAGTTTTTAAGTGATTTATAGGCATCCCACCAAAATTTATCTAGGATTAATAAACATAAGACACAAATAAGTGCTTATGAATTATGCATCATTACTGAGAATAGTTATTCATCCTAATGGTATGAAATCTAACGATTGTGTTGCTATCTTTATAATATTTCTTAATAATACTACGTTAACATTCCTATTCCTTCTTATAGATAATAATGAACAAGGTACTTCTAAGAAATTTTTAGTCCATCTTGTACATATATGAATTTTTAGTTTTGGCTTACTGTCTTCTTTATTACTCTCCTTACTCTACTTAGAGCAAAATGGGACTTTATATTCCAAACTGGAAAGGAGTCTATTTTACATCAAGTAGTTTAACTGATTTACCTTTTCCCTTTCCACATGCCTTTGCATTATAATGTGCCACTGCTTTCAAGAGGTAAGTCTTTCATGCATCCTTAATTAATTTTAATTTCATTGGACTGCAGTTTCTTCTAACAGTTCTTATGTGGGATTTTGAAGAACCTGGCCTTGGAAGATACAAAACGTGATATGATAGTAATATTTTTAAATGCTTTTCTCTTTACAGAAAACAAAAGTGACAGAGTTAGTATCCACATTACTGGAGAGAAAATATGGTGACTTATATATGAGTAAACAGCATGAATGCCCGATTTTTGCAAAATTAGGCTAAATTTTGCAAAACAGCTGTAATTTAGAATAACCACATTTAGCCTTTTCAATAAGTTTGGTTTTGCATTGCTGTGTTGTGGTGAATTCCTTTATGGTAGTAAATAGTAGTGTTTAACTTTTATCATAAAATATATGTGGGGTTTGCTGTGTAATGGTTTAGAAGAGGTAATGTTCGGGATAATTTGTATCAGTCAAGACTATTAGAAGACAAAGATAAAGATAGAATGTAAAGCATAAACATATGTACCACTAGTGAATAGTGCATATAAAACTGAGTTGTTTTCCAAATTCATATCAAAACCCAATATTTCCCAGGTAAAATCTTTAAGAACCATTTCGATTTTTCAGCCAGTGTTACTGAAAGGTTGAGAACTCTATATATGCAGTTGTGTGTCACTGGATGATAAAAATTCTGTACACCTTTGCAATTTGTTAAGAGAGTTAAGTACCAGCTTGTTAAGTGTCACAGGTAGTTGGCATAGGCATTGAAAATTACTGTGGTATAACTTCAAAACCTTGCTTTTGTGTCTGTTGGTATTGATGATAAACTGGTGATTACTAGCTTTAAAAATAGATAAAAATCACATTAGGTAAGAACTTAAATTAATTTTATGTTATGATTATTCTGAGCATGTGCTGAAATTTCCTTATCATCATACTCTAGAATAGAATTGGAAATATGGAATATCTATCTTAGACACACTGGAGGGATTAACTATTGAATTATTAGAGCAACTTTATTCCAGTGGGGCTATGATCTCACTAATTGAAGAGTTTCATGTTATAGACACATAAGAATATTGCACAATGCACTAGAGAAACACCCCCAAGCCCTGATTTATTGTTTGTCTATTTAAAGTTAAATTCTATACACAAAGATTTTCACTAGTTACTAGATTCCAGTGTAACAATTTGACTTATAAAGGGGAAAAAATGGGACTTGGAAAAATAAATTTAAGCATTTAGGTTAAATATACATTTTTTAAAATGCAGATTAAGATTCATTAATTTTTTCATTATTACTAAGCATTGTGCTAGATGTTTTTAAATGCAGTATGTGATTGAATTCTCAAGTGATAGAGCTAAGATTCAAGCCTAGGGTTTTTTGAAGCCAAATTTTGGTGTGTCTTGCCAAATTTTTGGTTCTGTCACCTGTTTGTGCCCTGGGCTTATTTCTGTTACTTTGAATTAGTATTTGTTTTTCATGGTTATAGACTTGAGGATAAATTGAGTGAATTGAGGCTACATGGTGAATAATGTGCATAAACTACAGTTGGGTTTGATAATACTTTTTCTATGTTGAGTCGCTGGAGGATCTATTCTAACAATAAATCTGTATTTGTATAGTTTTCAGAGTGCTTTCAAATACAAAAATATACACCCTTACAAGAATTCTGAAAGATGAAGAAATTGTAATAATCCATCTCACCATTGAGGAAAAGGAGGCTTCTTGGGGATTGCAGCTTGTCCAGGCACAGAGGAAGTGGGTGGCGTAGCTAGGGTGAAAAGCCACATCATCTGACTTGTCATGTTGGCACAAATGCCACTGTGGTGTATGATGGTCTATTCCACTTGGCACATTTTCTAAAATTCATGAAAATATCTGTTCAAAGTATTAAAATTGGCATCTTTAGGTTTTAACCAATCAACCCTCTTCTGGCTGCACCTTACCACATCATAGAATATTTCCCCCCAACTTCATTTTGACATAAAACTCCTTCCCTGAATTTTAAAATGTTTAAATATATATCTAAGATTTTATTCTGAGGTTTTTCAGAGGAGGTTATTTTGAAAACTGTTTCCCTGCTATTTAAAATAGTAAGGCAGAGGAGAGAATGCTTTGCATTATGGTTTAGAGAAGAATAAATACCCATAAATTACTGAGATTAACTTAATCCTGCATCTCACCCCCACTCAGCAAAACTCAGCCCTTTATTGAGTTCATGAAACTGACTTTGACGTGTGGAAATACTGCTTAGCTACAGTGCCCAGTCTTAGTATTCAAACTGGTAGGCAGTTTTTCTCACTGCGTTTATAATGAGTAATTAGTTACTCTGACTAAACATCATTGCGGTAGGATTGATTCAACAATGCGTAGAGAAGCTATATTGTGTTTTATACTTTCATCGTCTCTATACATAATAGAATGTGAATATATTTGTTTTTAATGATTTTATGCTTAATAGGCTATATGAATGAATTATGTCTTTCCTCTTTAGGTGTTATTAACCTAGTTCTTTTATCATATCAAACATGCCTTTCTGGGCAATAATTAGGTTGCTGATAACACAGACCTCTGGTGTTCCTACAAGTGAGCTCTAAACTTCCTGGAATTTGCTTCTGAATGAGGGCAGTGGTAATGATGGACAGGGGAGAGTATGAAAATTGAGTAATAGACTATTATTTATGACCCACTGCTTCATATATTTTTCATCATAATCACTTCATTTTAAAAAATAAGAGAAAATTTTCATATAGCATATTATTCCTTTATAATGTATGGCTCAGGATAATTTATGTGAGAAGATTACACTTGCTATGAGTAATGTATACTTCTTATATTATGTGAGACTGAAAGATTTTCTCTTAGTCTGCTCTGATTTTAAAAGTGATTCTAAAATGATCTGTTTCTATATCTTACATCTTATTTATATTTTAATCTCTGCCTTTTGTTAGGAACCATGGTAGGAATTTGGATTCACTCTAAAATAAATTTTATAAAAACCTAGAAAAAAATTTTAAATAGTGAATCTTTCTTGGTATTAGTAACTTGAGACTTCAACTAGCATTAATATATAAAATATTTTTCAGTGTTTTTTGGAAACAAACAAACAAATACAGATAAAACTGTTCTCCAAATAATAACAGTGTAACAGAATTTTGACTAACACTTGTTCATTTTTGTCTGTCTGCATTTACGTGATTATTTTGAAGCATGATGTTTGGTGTAATGTCTTCATTTTTTTGAATTTTGTTATTTCATTTTTTCTTCTTTCTTTTTTTGGCCTCATCTTTGTTGCCCATCATCCTGGGAACATCACTGTCTTCTCTACTCTATCACATCTTTCTGTGTGTGTGTTATTCCTCCTTCAGTAACCCTGGCACTGTGTAAGTACCTCATCAGTGGTTTCTTTTCTAATTTTCATCATTGTCTCTCTGCAACTTTTCATCTGGCTTTCAACTTAACACCATCACCAAATTTTGTTAGTCTCTCCTCATTGCTTAGAATTTTCAAATATATTAGGAGCCTAGGAAACTTGTTTTCCATGCCAGAAAGCTAAACCTTCAGAAAGATAGATCATTATTATAAACAGTATATACTGGACTTAGAGATATGGTTGGGGTCTCCCTTGTTTAATATTTTTTAAAATTTTGAATAAATTTGCTAACTTTGAATGTCTGTATTTTGAAATAAATTGTTTGCTCTTGATAGTTGAATTTATATTCTAGCCCAAATACATTTCAAAAAATCAAATTATTGAGATTATTCCCTTCTTTAATCATAGTCATGAGAGTTTCAAAGCCAGTAAATGTTTAGAAACTTTCTGTCACTTGACACAGACCTTAAGCTGTGGTGAATGTCACAAAAGAGTCTAAGACGTACTATACTTTTCACAAGTGTGTTGTGGCTAAAAAATATTCTTAAGTGGTGACATTTTATTAATCTTGGTGTCTTAGCTTAACACTATTTTTTTGTATTTTTATAGTCCAAACCTTTTATAGAGGATAAAATAGTCTTATAGCTGAAATTGGCACCATTTAAGAGTAAACACTTACTGACTATAGAGAAATTTAAAACTATAAGTTTAGTAGCTTAAATATAAAGTTTTTCAAGTAATTGCATAAGATAAAGTGTTGTCTATTTAGGAATCTGCCAAAGACAGTGTATTTATGAAATAGCGTATGTCTATTATTTTGTAATTAAAGAAAATTATGTCTATTTTAAAAAGGGTTAGGAGGTTTTGTTCAATATCAGTAAAAGGTATTTTAGGTATTTCACTCCTGGAATATTAAAATTTTATAAATAATAATTTGAATTACTATTAAAAAATGCTATTAAATATACCATTATGTAGTATTAAAATACTATTATTAGTATTATGTGTAAATACTATTGATTCTGTTCTTTATATATATGATGACTTGTAGTCTTAGAACATGCATTGCAAATAATTTTTCTAGTAATCATAAAAGGACACATTATGTTACTTTGTGTTAGTGTGGAAAGCACTTTACATACTTTACCTACCTTATTTATTCCTCAAAACAACCCTTTAAAGAAGATGCAATCCCCATTTCTCAGGTGGTAAAAATTGAGACTTGGAGAAGTTAAATGACTTGCATAAAATACACACTGACTGGAGGATGTATGCTTAGAACTACTACCTGTCTGACTGCAAAGCTAGTGTTAATTCTATCATGTCACTGGGCAAAAACTCTTCTAGTGTACTGAGACAGTTTTTGTAGGTATCCCTATTACAGTGACAGCAGTCACGTGGCATTCTGATAGCAATGTGATTTTTTAGCAGTGAGTTAACCTAGGCACTCTTAGGGTACTTTCTCTGCTTGGATCTTGTGCCAGTTGTCTGCTAGTCCAGGCTCAGGTTCCTTCTTCTCTTCTGAAACGAAACTCATAATTTAGTTTGCATTTATCCTATTTGGGGGGCGGGGTTGAGAAGGGAGGAGTATTTATAAAGTTACCTAGATCTTAGGTTAAAGTGTTAAAATAATGTACATTGTAAATTCCGTAATATTGGTATTTATGCTTTCTTAATAGAAAAATGAATAGTCTTAGCAAACTCAAAGTTCTTGAACTCTGTAGTTTACACATCCCTTTCATATGTATTATTTCATTTAATCCTAAGAACAGTGCTACTTTATATGTGATATTCTTATAAATGAAAAAACTGAGGCTCAGTGAGATTGACTAGTCAAAAGTCATAGAGCCACAATTCATATCTTGGTCTTTTGATAAATATTTCATTGGTTTCTGATAGACCACAGCTCTTTACAGCGGTGGTTCTGCACCCAACTTTATTTAGGGTTAGGGATATCTGTACACATAAATGAGAATACTGTAGAAAGTAAGTTCTGACCCTTTTCAAAATTGTGTTTGGAATTGTTGGTGTAGCCTGTACTAAACCATTCATGGCTCCTGGGCCCGGTGAAGAAATGATCATTTAATTTTGTGAAAGCCAACATATTTTAGCAGCATACAGGTATTTAACAGTGGTTGTGGATGTAGTCCATATCTGCTTCGTTAGCCATAAGATGAACAATACCAGTAATTTTGAATTGTTTGATTTTAATTACTGTGGACTTTGCAATTTCTTGTTATTTTCCTTCTTTTCTTATTCTTTTCTTTTCCTTTTCTTCATGTTGAAATCTCTCTTCTGCTGCCTTCTTCTGTCAATTAAAAGGAAAATCCTACCCAAACGGTAACCTTTCTGTTGAATAGCCATCTATACTATTATTTTATATTAGCATATAAGTACCTTTTTTTAAACTAATTTAAAAAAATAACCTAGTCTACTCTATTTTAGAAGGATGCTTTCTTTTTTTAAGAAAAATTGTTGCTGAGTATACTTGAAAAAGCAAAATACACAAAAGGAACGTTGAGGATTAAATGTATAAATTATAAATAATAATGGGAGAAGATATTTTGTCCTTAACATAATTATAAATATTTTAATCCTTTTTTTTCCTTTTGAACCCTAGCCCACCAAGAAAACACATTATGGATCGTTATACAGAGTTTTATCACATACCTACTCACAGTGACGCCAGTAAGAAGAGACTGATTGAAGATACTGAAGACTGGCGTCCAAGGACTGGAACGACTCAGTCTCGCTCTTTCCGAATCCTCGCCCAGATCACTGGGACTGAACGTAGTAAGTGAATACCTAGGGATTCTAATGGATGAATTTTTCTCTGCCACAGAGAGTGGCATTTAGACTGATGGACAGTTATTGGAAAATAGTAATTTTCCTGAGACAGTTTGCTTTTAAATTATGCCATGCATAGTGGTGCTGTAAATAAGCAACCAGCCCAGGAGAGTTATATTGAAAAGTGTAGCAGTAGTAGTAGTCATAGTACTGACTATAGCGTGTAGCCAATGCCAACGTGATAAGGAACTTTTTTAGCGGCTCTGTGTAACTTGACCATTTGGTATTAATCGATACAGGTAATTGCTTAAGTGATTTTAAAGTTAAAAAACAGCAAACTGACATTGGATATTGCTTATTTTATTTCAGTGAAAGAATCTGAAACTGATAATACAAAGAAGGCAAAGTAAGTTGTCCTTTCTTTTGGTAAATTGAATGCTTTCCTTTTATGAATGGTCTCAATTTGTGTTTTTTCACCTTTTCAAGTGAATGGTATGGCATTTTGTCTTTGCACCTAGGAGCTAAGCTTAACTTTGGTGCCTTTTATGGGACTGAAATGTACAACTTACAGATTTTTAAATTAGTTGATGCTGTCTGAATTTTTTGTCTGCGGCTTGTTTTCTTCAGTATTGAAGTGAGTGGGCAGAAGGGTATATCTGGGGGCGCTTTGCTAACACTACAGATGTTTGTGAATGAGTTCATGTGTTGTCTTGCAGTCGCTTTGTTTGGGGAAAAAAAATGGACGTTTCCAAGAGGGCTCTATAGATTAATTTCTGTACTTCTAAACATGCTCTACCCTTGAAATCTTCGCTGTTAAACAAAACAGCTCTGTGAAATTAAGCTTTTGGAAGGCACGTTTTCTGCATGGTGATCTAAGTGTAGAAACCTTTTCTTTCTCTTTCTTGTGACTCTTCTATCACTCTCTTTTCTTCTTTCTTTTCTTTTTATTTCCGCAGGGAAAAGACACCCCTTCACGTCTTTAGTCCCAAATACACAAAATTACGTGACTGGCACCATGAAGTTTCAGCACGCGCTCTTAACGTACAGTGATTTATGAGCCTTGCCCCAAGAGCAGCCAGCACATGCCTTTTCGTTCCCTTTTTCTTTTTCGCCAACTTCATAGCAAAATCCGTATTAAATTTGCCTTATGAAAGACAGAATCTTTTCTATACTTCTCTAACCATTTCCTGCCATTGTGAAAACAAGGAGGATGAACACGTTTTGTGCTAGTTGGTAGCTCACAAATGTTAAACCGAGAGAGCGAAGTAAGGAGCCAGATTGATTCAGTGGATTTACATCTGTTTTTATTGTTATTATAGGAGTAACCTTGGAAAGGAATTCTTTTTGTAAGTGGAATCTGGTTGGTTGGTTGAAGTAGAGGTGGATGAGCAAATAATATCCTTGTCTAATTTGGAAAATACTTCCTTTATGTTACTGCATTTCCCAAGGTTACTTTATTGTATAGTGCATTATTACGTAATGTTCAAAGTGGGCTGTAAACGCTTCTAAGTAAGCAAATATGAGGAGGCAATATAAAAGAGAAATGACTTTGTTAGAATAGAGTTCATTACAGGTTTGGGTATTTTTGTAAAGCAGAAACTATTGAGGATAACTGTCTGAAGAGCAGGAGGGCCCAGATTTGGCTCCGAAAAAAGGAAAGAAGAGAATTCTGCCCCTGTTTGCAATGGGGAAATAATAGTGTTCGTTTGGTTTTGTTAGTTTTAAAAATCCTGTTTTCTACCAAAGCAATTATTTCTAAGCTGGTGGATGTGTTTAGGATATAGACAACTTCTAGGTATTAGCTAGTAAGTTGAAGAAGAGATAGCTTTGCTTTATTTCTAAATCAGGGGAAATGAACATAAAATAAATTGCAATATGAATGATTCTTTATGCAACATCAGAGAAATATTTTACTTAGTGATATAAACTATTATGCATTATTGCTGTTCCAAGAAATCTCTGTTTTGGGCTTTACATGCAAGCTAAATATCTGACCAGAAATGCTTTCTGTCTTGTAATATAATGTATTATATATTAGATTAAATTCAATAATAAATGCATTTTGAAGTTTGGAAAAGTATTGTAATAAAGTTGCCTTTAACTTAGCTTTGTAGTTGTTTTCTGTTTCCTTGAAGCTAGTAACAAGCCTTCCAAGACGTACATTATCACTTGGGTAAAATAACTAATTCTCCTGACATTTAATTTGGACAATGTTTTTAATTTTGTGAGGTTGCTAAAATGTGAGTGTGGAATATGACAAAGATCCATATTTTTTTTTCCTGCATTGTTTCATTATTTTACATAACGTCTTATGTGAGTAACAGGTTAAGATCATTTAGACTGGGGCACAACATAGAATGAGGCTTTGTGTGAAAATTATTACTGAAGCATCTTTGCTTGCATTCAAGGTTCCGTTTTTATTTTTCCAGGTTTTCTTGATTTGAATGTCACTGTAGAGTAGGAAAACTGCCTGATAATTTTGAGAAACTAACATTAATTTCAGTTAGTGATTACTATTTAAAATTTGGCATGCCATGGGCTTCCCTGGTGGCGCAGTAGTTGAGAGTCCGCCTGCTGATGCAGGGGACAAGGGTTCGTGCCCCGGTCCGGGAAGATCCCACATGCCGTGGAGTGGCTGGGCCCGTGAGCCATGGCCGATGAGCCTGAGCATCCAGAGCCTGTGCTCCGCAACCGGAGAGGCCACAACAGTGAGAGGCCCACGTACCACAAAAAAAAAAAAAAAAAAAAATATTGGCATGCCAAATGTATTTTTAAAAATAATTCTGGGATTTATCTATGTTTATTTTTACTATATAATATATTACAATGTCTTTCTTTTAATTTTATCAGTACTTTTTCAGATGCTCCTTATGATTTTATGTTTCTGACATCAATCCCAGTTACCACTGTGACTCTGGCCTCTGTAAGAAAATCTATTAACTTACACCAGCTTTTCCTATACCTTTTAATTCTTCATTGATCTCAAAAGATGATGCTTGAAAGAAGAATCAAATTCTCATGAAAATAAATGGTCTGGGTAGAGTAAACATGGTATTTTACACCAAGAACCAAATTTCTAGAATAACTTCAGAGTTGAGAGAAAGAAAGAGCGTTTTAGGTAAATAAAAGAATTTTTCCTTAATAAAGACAAGAGAACGTATGTATGCATGTATGTAGAGCTTTATAACTTGAAATAGGTGCAGTTGAAAATAGGAGTTTAATACCTTACCTAATTAAAGATAAAATACTTGATGTCTTACTGAAAGCATAGATTTAGATAAATGGAATGATCCACATTTGAGCGTGAGGGTAAATGCTCAGCCAGGATCGCAAAGGACATTCCATTTGACCCTGTCAGAGGATAAATTCCTGTGCTCAGTTAGCCTCCTGGGACATCTTATAGTCCAAGCTTAAAAGCTAGCCAAAAATTATAAAAACGTCTTGCAAAAATATTGTTGTAAGTCTAGTGACCTAATTTATAGCTTGTTTTTGTTTGTCTCTCTTATACAGACTTTCTTTATCACAGGCTTGTTTTTCATGTAAAATTAGAAAGTTACTCTTCAGAACTTTCAACAGTTTTTTTCGTATAATATTTTACCAGCCAGAAGATAGAATGTCTCCCACACAGTCAGTCTTTTTGCTACTTGAAAAACAATTATCTGTGGAAACAGAAACCTACTCCTTCTATACATCATTATGCCCTTTAGGAAGACTCAGGTAAAAAACGTCCTAGAGAGCTTGTTTAATAAAAACTGTGGTGTTAAGAAAGAGAGTAGCAGTCCCTTCTTTTATTCATTTTTTTGTCTGAAATATAGGATGAATCAATTTCCCAAGACAAATAATTTTGCAGTAGTTGTGTTGCTGATGTGTATTTAAAATCTTATAAATTGTAAATATTCATTTGTTGCCTGCATTCATTCTTTCACATGAATAATTACTGAATGCTTAAATTCCAGGGACTGACGTGTGCTAGGGATTCAGAAGAATAGCATATCAATATATAAACAAGATAATCTAAGATAATTGTGTTATCAAGATAATAAAATAAGTTAATATAAAGGAAGTTTGGCTTAGGTAGGGTGGGATTACTTAGATTGTGTGGATTTCTGAGGAGATGACCTTAATGCCATCACCTGAGGGAGGAAAAGGGGTCAACTGTGTGATGGCTTGGGGTGAGTGCTCAAGGCAGAGGAAACAAATGTGGGAATCCCAAAGTGGAAAGGAGCATGGCGAGTTCACAGAACCAAAAGGACAGTGTGGCCAAAATGTGGCATGTGAAGGGAAGCATGATCCAAAAACATAACGCTTAACGCGTAGAGGCAAATAATATACGATCCCAGTACTGTCCACAGCATTTTAAATGGGAAGTTGTCTAATTATCATATCTAGCCACCTTCAAGTAAAATTAGAAAATGAAGAATCGGGGAGGTTATCAACTTGCTAAATAAAGTATACCCACCTAGTTAGTGCCAGCCCTGGGCATAATGATCAATTTAATGCTTTTCCCATTGAGACCCACTGAAGTCCTAGAAATGTAGTAGATGTTGGTAACATATTTGTAGGGAACAGAATGCCCCTTAAACATGCATGAAGTCACTCAAAAACAAAACTTTCACGTGTAGAAATGTGACATACAATGCTCTCTTCATAATTTAGTGATGAATTTGACAATTTAGTCTTCTCTCTAAAAACCTGTCTTGGTTTTCACATGTCACCTCAGCTCCAGCCACCCACCCCCTCCTCCAAGGCCACAGTCTCCGTGAGTAGCTGCCCACATGCAGTGAACTGAGGGTCGGGGGGAGGGTGGAGAGGAAGCCTGGCCGCTGTCAGGCCGGTTGACTGGGGAGGACCTTGCTGCCTCTGTTAGGTCCTGGTTTGGACCTCAGTTGCATCCATTCTCTTCAGCGTGGGCCTTGTCTTCACCTTCTCATCATTCTCTCCGTCTGGGACACTTCTCATCCCTTCTCCTACATTTTGAAACCAGATCACAGACACCATTTAGGGAGATCATTAAAGTGAAAGATCAGTTTAGGGTAGCCTGAAACGTGTATGGAAGTCAAAAGAAAGACACTTTTCTTTCCCTCGAGTAAAGGATGTTTGTTGATTCCATCAGAAGCACCCTGGGAGTAATGAGTAGGTAAAGGTGTTTCTATTATAAATAACTTTTGTTTCCTACCTTGGTGTTTGTAGGGTTTTGTTCTTTATCCTTGCAATAAAGCAAGTTTACTGGCAAAAAAAAAAAGAAAGAAAAAAGAAAGAAATCAGATATAATCAGGGCTCTATGAATGAATGAATGAATGAAAGAAGAATCTTCAAGACAGAAAATTAAGATTAACTCTGAACAAATGTGATAAGATCTTGTAACTGGTGAGCGGCAGGATAAGTTTTGTAGCAGTAATTTTCCATATGC